TGGTGACTTCATGTTTTGTCTGTAAGAGCACTGGTCACCTGGAAGCAAAGGAGAGAGGTTGGACATTGAGCTTCTGTGCTTTGAAGCTGTAGTCTCATGAACCTGGTAAGTTGCTTGAATGGCTGAGTGCTGATAAAAGTCTCATCCTCTTTGTCCCATTCATGAGGTCCTGCATGGTCTGTGGCTCTCTGTTACTCACTTCACCTGCCTCTGATAGCACTAGGGCACAGATAATTAAACTGAACTTTCTTCCAGTTTGCTCCTTTGTTACTGTTCTGTGAGGCTTGGCCTTTTTCTCTTTTAAATTTGATTTTCATTCCTTCTGGAGAAATCAGCTGGACTATGCTAGCAGCTACCCAAAGCAGACAGACAAATTACTGTGACTATTACTGGAGGGCCAAGCTGGAAGATTTACAACCTGAGGCCACTGCAAGCAAAAGGCAGAAATGTTTAGTGCTTTGGATTCTCAGGACTTCAAGAAACCCTTTGTAATGTTTATGGATTCTGGGTTAGAATTAGGGACATCAGTGAATAAATAGAATCATAGAATGGTTTGAGTTGGAAGTGGTCTTAAAGATCATCTGGTTCCAACCACCCTGCCATGGGTGTCACTACACCTCCCACTAGCCCAGGTTTCTCATATATTCCCATATATTTTTGTGTGTGGTTTTAGTTTGTCAGGGAATTTTGTTGTTTTGTTGTTTTTTTTCTTACTGATTTGCAAGTGAAGGATGACTATTCTCTTCCTAGGGAAGAAGAGAGGAAACAAGCCATGCCTTTGGCAGATGGGAGATGTTTCAACCTTTTGAAGTTGGGAGATGTGTAGAAGCACCTTCCAAGCACTCTGGCTGAAGTAACCATTGAGTTATACAAGGAGGCAGCACTGGCATATTCATCACTACATATAAACTGTGAAAAGTCATTTCCCTTTAGAAAGGATCCTTGTGCTTTTGTCATGTGTTAAATCTCTTCAGCGCACAAGTAGCTGATCTGGCCCCTTAGGCTGCACATAAACTTATTTTTGAAACATACTACACAGGACACCTTGAGCATCCTGTCAGTGCCTCCATGGCATCAGGGCTCTTGTCACATCCTCTCTGTGAGGAAATCAGACTGTGTGGTGGGTACACACCACAGGCTTACCTTTATAAGAAGGTACAGTGCTGCCAGGACATTCCCATGATATGGAAAGTGTTTATAGAGTATTGCCTTACAAGGAAGTTGTGCAAACCTACAGTCTTAGATTACGTTCCCTTCACTTTGGGGTTCCCACCAGGGCAAGGAGGGGCAGTTTTAGATATCCACCGATGTAGAATTATTGGCACCTTAGGAACTTCCAGGCACAGCAAATCAGGTCCTAAATAGTTGGGTGGCTGCCGAGTAAGTTTCTTATTTAATCTAAATCCCAGTTTCACAGTTAGGTCCCTAAATTTTTTCCAAGCCTTTGAGGGAGAAAGTGTATAGTATAAATAATATAACTCTGCAGTAGCACTTCGATTGCTCATTGAGTCAGGCATTGGTGCCAGGGGAATTTATGCCAGTTCACAAGGTAACGGTGAGGGGAATGGTGTTTGGCAGCAGAATACAAAGATATTGTGGTGGCAGGCGAGTTCTGCATGAACACAGAGCAATGACTCCAGGGGACCACTACCATACAGTGGTCTCCTGGACTCCTTGTTCACAGTGTCAACAGGGCATTTGTTGACAGTTTTCAAAGTAGAGCTACTGTAGAGGAATGATTAAACAGGTGATTCCAACACTGACTGTTTTACATGAAGTCAATGTATCACTGTAGCCCATGGCACTAATAACTTAAGCATGAAAAGTGGCCTGTGGCCATCGATGAAGGAGCCAATTTCTGTACTTTGCTAGATCACATTGGGAAAAATAGAAATGATTGATTTAAGCCTCCAGCACAAAAACACACTTGCCAGCTCTCCAGTTAGAGATTTCCACTCTTGGAATAGGCATTGCCTTGCCTAGATGAAATCTCTGGAGTCTACTGCCAGGTCGTTTGCCAGAATCATTAAACTGGTTGAAAGAACAGCTGTCATTTGTCTTCTGTTTGATAGCTGGTGGGCATCAATCCAGAGCAGCATGAACACAAGATGAGGACTTTTCTCTCCATTTGAAAAAAAAGAATGTTAAATGTTTTTCTCAAGTTTCAATAACGCGTGCATGAGGCCAGAGCTTTATGCTGTCGAATGCTCTATAATGCCCTCAGCCAAGGGTAAGAGCAAAAGCTTGAATGGCACAGGGGCTTCTAAATAGGCAGCTCTTACCTGTCACTGAAAGTTACTGCTGGTAACACATCATTTGTCAGTAGAATATAACAACAAAGTACTGGAGATTCTATTCAGTTTTCCAAGAACAGCTGTTCTGTGTTTTACAAGGGAAAGGAGCTGAGGAATATGATTTACCATTACTAAGCATCACAGTTACCCATGTGTTTGTTTTTTTCCAGGCAGTATTTAACAGTTAACTAACAGGCACATCCTGACAATACTGACTAGGTGCTGGGTGCGTGGATGTGCTGCAGGATTTGATGCAGCAGTGCGGATAATGGCAGGTTGCTGAGATGAGAAGGCAGCTCTACATCATCTGGCCTAGCCTCCTGCACAGCTCCAGTCAGGCAATCTCCTCCAAACACTTCTGTGTGAACCCTTTGGCCCATCTACAGAAGAGGGGACCCCGTCCTCTCCTTCTAGTCAAAGTAGAGGATCCACCAATGCCATTAGTAATTTGTACTAGCAATGAGTCATTGTTTGCTTTTGAACTGCCTTATGTCTATTTTAACTTGTTTGGATTTAACTTGCAGCTATTCGTCTTTTGCCAGTGATTTAAAGTACTTGGTAAGTCCCTCTAGTAAAATACAGTAAGATGACTTGGGCTTTTCCTTAAGCCAGACGGACCTTTTCAGTCCCTCACCATCAAACACTTCTATCAGCCCTTATGTTATTTTCTGTGGTTGTGTTCTGCTCTCTCTTGATTTTTATGTTGTCTGCAACTGGTCAAACACAAAGTAAAACTCAGATCCTTGCAGCACTGAAGAAGTAGCACAGAACCAGAACAGACCCAACACGCTGTGACTGGATGCCCGGCTTCCCCTTCCCCATAGCTGCAGCCCTGACACCTCTCGCGGGAGGTGCCTACGCTTTCTGTTCTGACACTGTAATTTAACAGTGGCTGTTTTGCATGCTCAGAGATGCAACAACCTGAATTATTTTCAGTGATTTGACTTCTGACTCATTGCTGAGTGCAGTGGCAGTCCAAAAAGTAGGACCTCTACTTAGGATAGCCCAGAAAGTAGGACCTCTATCCTGCTCAGAGGTCCCTGGGAGGCCCAGCACAGCAGGAGACCCCAAATCCCTCTCTCCCAGGGGCTGGCACAGACATGGTGGCACCTGGTAGTGGTATTAACCAAAAGCTGCCCTTTCTTTGGTGCCTGAGAGATTTGAGAGCTCAGCCTGGATTTGAGAGAAGTGTGATTCATTCAGTGACAGTTTAAGGTGCAATAAATAAATGGGTACTGGGAGGTGTGTCGGGATGTGGGGAGGCCCTGCCCATGTCAGTTGGTCTCCACAAGGATGGTGATGGTGCACCAGAAAGAAAACATGGTGATATTTGTCATATAAAACAGAAAGGCTTCTGTGCCCTCTACCCCTGGCTGCTCCCAGCCTCGTGGCAAGGATGTGCTTTGAAAGCAGCATTTTGGGCATCTCCCCTCCAAGAGGATGCAAGCATCTGGTAATGCTAAATGGGGCATCCAAACCCCAAAGAGCAGTAGATGTGTGTGCAGCTCTGGCCTCTTTGGCTAGCTCAGGTGATCAGCCTGGGCTGTGGATGTCCCCACTCTGAGATGCTCAAGGTTCCCCTAGGGTCCTGCCTCTTCTCCCTGCATAGAGAATGAGTCTCCCCCACTCCTTTTGGGGATCTGAGTTTTAAAATGCATTTGTGCTGGAAAGAACATTGTGGTGCTTTTACAGTCCAAGGTCCAGTGTTACACCACAAAGCAGGTACAGCTATTTTGCCGGTACCCTTGTACTGTGAATCGTTTAAATTCAGTGTTTTGAGGTGTTTGGGGTGGTTTTTCTTCATAATTTCAAATGAACAGATCAGTAATGTCACCTCGATTAGCCTGAGGCAATTGGTGGAGGAACTCTTCTTTAAAAAGAAGTAAAAAGCTGCTTTTCCTGGTGAAGTCTTTGCATATAAAAGGTTGTGCTGGAGCTGGAGCACTTTGAATGTGATTGCAGTGACTCACATTTTTAATGGCTTTTTTTTTTTAATCTCAGAAATGGCTCTTTTCCAAGCAAAGTCCTACAAGGCCTCATATAATAAACAAGGGTTACTGCTCTTTTCCACACATAACATGAAAAATATCCTTGAGCATAGCGAACTGCGGCCCATCTGCTGTAGCTTGGCCTGGTGCGCGGCGCAGCTCCCTGGCCATTACGCATGGCCCTTGGTAAAGCAAACCACCTGCTTCCTGCACGAGGTCCCGCCTCGAGCCTCCCCAGCGCTTCTCTGAGGAGGAAACCCATCCAACCCCCTGACGGAGGATGACAACCTTGGCATTCCCTTTTGCTGCATTTGTTCTGATGCCATTTGTTGTTCACTCAAGTGCTCCGTGGACTTTCGTCTTCTTTTCCATCCAGACTAGAAAAAGGCAGGCTGTGCCAGAGATAAATAGACTTGTACTTTCTTGTTTATTGCACTCCCTTGTTCTTCAGCTGCGGTCAGCAAACTCTTCATTTGGGATGCCTCTTTCCTCCTACATTAAAGAGAAAAGAAAATCAGTGCTGTTGTTTTGCTAAGAAAGAAACAGTTTTTACTGCCTTTTTCTCTGAAGAAGTCACACTATATTGTTAAACCAACTGATCACAAATAACCACCAGTGGCACTCTGAGGTAAACCACTCGTATGAAAAAATTCAGGTCAGATGGCAGAAATCTGGAAGAATTTCAGGATCAGCCTAAAATCAGTTCTCACCGGAGAATGAAGCAGTGCTGACAGCTGTGCCTGAGACCAGGATATCTGTCTTCTTGAAACAGTGTTATGTGGAGGAAGAAGTGTTTGTGGATATGTCTGGTTAACAGTGTACTTTTGTGGCATAGATTAGAATCTCACTGGTATCAACTCTATCATGTGTATGTTAATGTGCAATGTGCTGTGCCACTCAGTACTCAGACTGTGCCTTTTTTTGTTCCTTTCTTAGAGACTGAAGTTGTGCAACATGCAGTAAATAGCATTAGAACTGGAAAAAATACTTATTTAGTATGCATAAATAAATCTTCTAGTGTCAAAAAAAATCACAGCTTTAATCATGTTCTTAATCATTGGCCAAAACAAAATCATAGATTAAAAAGTTATCATGTCTGGCTGGCCAAAATGCAAGCCTATGTTAACTTGTTTTGTTATGCTAAATGGTGGCTTTAGACATACCAAGCCGTGGGCAGAGCTAGGCTTCAGCTGGGGCTGCATGAAACAGGGTAAAATGTGCGACAGACATTGCAGCAAAGCGTTGGTTAAGATGATCTCAACATCAACCTACAAGAATACAGTTGTGCTAAAACCTCATAGGAACAGTCCTAACTCTATTTCAGCAAATGTTGGTGCTCCTAGATCGCAGAAGCCACAGCAGATACCACAGTCCCTGTGCTTTCCTTTGCTTCCTTAATAACTAACAACCAAACTGCTGGGGTTACCGGCAGGCGTTCAGACCCCTGTCTTGGGCCCACACTTACAACAGACCATGCTCCAGCGCAGGCAAGAGGCAATCCTGAATTCCTGTGTGCTCGGGAGTGTGGCAGTGGTTTGGTTCCTTTTTGTAAAGAATTCAGGTGAATGAGGTATAGCAATAAACCTGGCCTCCTCCTCTCTGGAGCAGCCATGCCTGTGATTCCTCATTACCTCAACCTGCCTTTCACAGCAGTACTCTAAGGCATTTCTGTGTTCCCTGTGGTGGAAGAGGCACCAGGGCTCTCAGCAGTCAGGATGCCAGTTTGACTCCTCTGCACACGTCTGTGTTTGGCATCTTCTGCTCCATCTTGTCCCGAATCCTTTTGGGTCAGCTCCATACGCAGCGTTTGTCAGGTGCTCGGCAGCATCTGGGTAGGGGCCAGTACAGATGTGATGGCAGTGCAGATGATTCACTAAGATAAAAGGCAGCATGAACACATGAATAAATAGATTTACATGTACCATAAAAAAGTTTCTGAATTACAAAGTTTCCAGCAAGCTCTGGTAGAAGCAAGCTCTGGAGCAAGGCTCCAACAAGCTTGTAGAAACAGTGGGAGCAAGAAACCCAACCACTCTTAAGATGGAGCATGCAAAATGTATGATTTCTTTGCAATAGCAGAGGAGCCTCTGATGTGGAGGTTTCTCCTTGTCTTACACTCCACAATCTGATGTAGCTGCTGCATTTAGTCTTGGCTTCCTGCAGATATAGAGCTGCAATGTAAGCTTCTGTGTATAGCAGAAAGAATGTCCTTCCTGTGTAGAGGAGCTGTGAGGAAGGGCAAAGGTTTGCATTTGAGATGAGGGTATGCAGTAGCGGGGATATTCCAGGAGCAATATTTATATTGGAAAAGCCAACCCAGACTACTGTAACAGTGGTAGTAAGGGTAGTAAGGGCCACTGCAGCATCTGAGGTGGTGTCCAGGAGATGAAAGGAGTGGAGTAAAATAACATAAAACTGATGGGTTTTATTACTAGCACTGTTGCACCTAATATGCTGGTCCTGGTGGATGATGGAAGCCTGATGCAGCATTCTGTCATTGACTCTAAAAAGTATAGACAACGCAAGAGGCAGATACTTTGTGTCTTCCCAAATAAATAACATAATGGACATACTTCTCCAAAGAAGTGTTTGACCATGTTTTTTAATCCAGTGATCCCTGAGGTTGTGGAGGACTAGGATGCAGGCTGCTTGAGCACTCTTCGTGCAGTTCTTCATGAATAAGCAAGTAAAAATTAGGCCTCCCCTTGAAAGTTGTGACGTGTGTGTGGGTTTGGGCAGTTTTGGGATAGGGGAGATAGTGGGGAGAGTTGCTTTGTTTTAGAGTGATCTCACAAACCATTCCCTGAAGTCTTTCAGACCACGAGTGGTCCCCAGAGCACAGGTTGAGAAATACTCTCCCACAGACACAATAACATTTGAGAGCAGAACTGCATTGTTCTCTAACGGTTCTGAGTTCATGAAATTGCTTGGAGAGCAGGGGGTGGTTAGATCTCTCCACTGTTATTTACAGCTCTAACTTACAGCAAAATAGAAAATAGCACTGTAATTGTTGTCACAGCAAACAAAATGTTTAAACCCCAGTGCAAATATAACCCATGCTGTTCTGCAAGCATGTGTGGAAAGCCTGAGATGTAAGATCTCCTGGTATTCCCATGAGCTAAAGTTAGGGCTGATATATTCAACACCTTGTATGCTCTAGCTGATGTCAGTGATGATCAAAACATGCGAGAACCAAGAGCTAGTACAGGTTTTAAGGCATGTTGTGTCAGCAGTCACAAGTGTAAGAGCATCCCAAGGAAGAAGGGTGGGTGGGCTCCAGAAGATACAGACAGTAAACATACAGACCCCTCAAGAGAGCCAGGTCTTCTAATGGGTTTCTTTCATTTTCTGGGTTGAGAAGCAGCCTTTAAGAGTCTCAAAACATTTTCTCAGTGAATGAGAGGTGCCTCAGATATGAGACATAAAAGGACAGTCTGACTAGAATCAGTATCCCTCCCCCATCAAATTTCCTTTTGAATGGTAATGAGATGCAAATAATGAGGAGTCTCCTTTTGGTACTTACAATGGTCTTGCTTTTCTATTCTTTTCAAGGAGCACTTAAGAAAGATACCTCATTTCCCTTTCTCAGTAGGAAAGCAATAAAATTACAGTCATCTGAAAAATACTGGCATTAGCTCTGACCAGGGATAATGCAGAAGTATGTAAAAAACCCAAAGAAAATAATTATTTTATCATAGCCTGTTTAAGATAACTGGATTCCTCTAAGTAAGAAGCACATTTATCATTATGAATGTCACAATTTCCAAAGGTAACCTTCATTAAGTCTCTTAAAAAGTCAACCATCAACACCCACGTGGCTCAGAGTCTGCACAGCAAAACCAATAATAAAACCAGTTGGTGTAATAATCACTGCTGTTCTCTCCCTCCATAGCTTTCTTTCTTTATATAAGAGTACGTGCATGTGTGTGTGTAAAATAGACATAAACCTAGCAAAGGGCAGGACTCACTTGTCTCTGCACTTATCATGCATGGATGACTCAGAAATATATCATTCTGAAAACTAAAGAAGTCTTCCTTTTCCTGCATCATCCCTCTACAGGAAAAACTTTCTTTCCCCTGCCCAAATCATCACTTAATATATTTTAGGACTAAATCATGACTAAACCTAAGCATTTTCATTTGGAGCAAGCACTTTCCAGCAGGTTTGGGTGGTCAGCAGCGGAGATCATTTGGCTTCTATAAAGTTAACTGCAATGAAAAAAAAGGGTCTTGTTAGAAGTGATTTAATTTTTTCTCAAAGATTACTTTCTTGATAATGTTATACAATAAATCCCTAATAGCTGGTTTATAGGCCAGCTCTACAAGACAAACAGACCAACTACACAAGAGAAACAGTGAACAAATTGGCCTGGCCAAGTAAAGCTTTCTTAAGATAATTGAAAACAACTCGTGCCTGCACTCTGAGAAAGAAGACAGCTTTCAAAATGTTTATCTTTGAGCTAAAATACAAGTCCCAAGCCTGAGTTTGAAAAGCAGATGAAAAATAGCTGGCCCCAGTAAAGAGCTGATGCACAGCCTGGGGTAATTGGACTGTGAGCATCACAGAGGAGGGACCGGGATCAGCAGGTCAGCTGGGATGGTCCTGGGAGGATATGGGCAGGGACCTCCTTCCTCTCATTTCTCTTCAGCTTCACATCTCAGAAAGGCACGTTCCCCTGGTCTCCGAGGCACAGCCTCCGCCAGCTACCTCACAGTCTCTCCTCACATGAGGCTTCCCATTAACCCGCCCCACTACCTTTAGCCTCTCAGTTTGTTTCTCCCGTTTGGTCCCTCAACCCTTTGGCACCTATGGATGACCATCCAACACTACTGCACAGCTCCTCTGTCTCTCCTGTATTTTCTGAGGGCTACCCCACCAATGGGATACTCAAAACACTTCCTTTTCTCCAACACATCCTTCTCCAGTTGGTTTTCTTCACTTTGGCTTCATGTAAATTATTTAGGCAATGGTTTATATGAAAACCTAGAGTGAGAACAGAGGTCAACATAGTAAAAAGGTTTGGTTGTAACCTCACTTTCATTCCCTAATTTTAGGAAACTGCCGCCTCCTGGTTCCAGGTTTCTCAGCACTGTGTGTGCTTGCAACTCAGTGCTTTTGTTTATTTTGGAACATTTCCTTCGCAAGAAGAAAGGAAGCAAAGTTCAGCCATTACCACATGAGCAGGAAGTGAAGAAAAAACCCCTCTCCTCATTATAAAAATATACACAGACCTTTTCCCTGCCTTCCCCACCCCTCCAAGCAAGACTTCAAAGCAAAACGCAGTACTCAGGCAGTGACATTTGCTATGGAAATACATTCATAGAGTGCAGCTCTAGGGGCTGGATCCTGGAGGAAATTTTTATTGTTGACTTGATAGTTACAAGGATTTGGAGATCACGTAACAAGCATATGGGGTAGGGTGCTACAGTGTCACTGGGCTGTTAAACCTGCACTTGGTGCATTTCTGTGCAGGACTGCTGCCTCCAGAAATCAGTGTCCTGAGGAAGCCGAAGGTCTGGAGAGGACAGCTCCTATGCCTGGGGTGAGCTCTTGCAGATCACAAAGTAAGTCTCAGCCTGGCATGCCAGGCTGTCCATCAGCTGCAGATGAGAGCTTCACCAAAGCTTATGGGCCAGCTCCTGCTCACCTTGTAAGTTCTTCTGCTAGAGCTGACTGCAGATGCTGCTGGGCTACAAAAAATGCAGTGTGCTCCAAAAACGCAAACACGCTGGACATCTAACTAGGGCATATGGTCACAGTGGAATTATGGTTTTCAAGACTCATTTCTCTGAGAACTAGGAATAATACAGCCCAGTAAGCAACACAAGGATGCAGTAAATGCCAGCCATATCTTCAGAGAAACCTGCACAGATGAGTGACATCTTTGGACAGGGATCATCTATTTGTGTCTCTTACTTTCTAAGAGTGACATCTCAGTAAATGATCTGTTCTCGCTGCACTTCATGCTATTAAATGAATTATTGAGCCAGGAGGTGGCACAAAAGCAGATTAGCCCTAATCTCTTGCAGGCTGCTGAGACATTCCATCAGCTGTATCAGGAATACCACATAGCATGCAAGGGGAAAAGATTAAAACACCATACTTGTGAAAAAAATTAAGAAAAGGTTTCAGACACAGAGGGAGAGTTTCTGAGGCTGTGAACCATGTGTTGGATATCCTCCAACACCTAATGACTATGGGACTCACAAAAGATCACATCAACATCAGATAACAGCAGTGATGCATCCAGATCACTATCCCATCTCTGGGATAATAAGAATAATTAGGAGGTGCCAGAGCAAAGGGCAAGACACCTGTATCTGATAATTGCACATGAGGTTAAAGTGTTGATGGTCTCCTTACCAAGAGCCAATGCTTCTAAGAACACTTTCTTCTAGGACAAATGCAACATAGCCCCAGTGAAACAAAGGGGGAAGGATGCACCTCCAACTTGTAAGGGTAAATACCACGGCAATATCTCCCCGTGCTTATTGCTGACATATTAATATCGCATTAAAGCCAGATTTAAGCACTGACCAACCTGGACATGAGTAACCTCACACACATCTGAAGTTGAGAGGCTACCTTGTTTGTTGCATGATGAGCTTCTAGGGCTTAGGCAGGTTTGTTACGGCTACAGCAGTTCTGCAGCACTTACACACACAGAGGAAAAAACAAATGTGGAGCTGACGATAACTTCAGCTATGTGTTAGAGCTCTGTATCAATACAGAAGCGGGCCAAAATGGATGGTGGCAAATAGTGGGGGAAAGGTCATAAGAAAAAAAATGAGGGAAGTAAATTGTCTTAGCAGAAAACAGGGCATGACCCCACCATCTGGCAAAGTTACAGAAATGTTAACCTTTGGAAATGCTATTAGTTCATTGCTGTTGGAAAGTTGGCGAGAAAGGCAATGCTCAGGACTGAGTCAGTTCTAGGGTTTCTGCTGCGCTAAGCACAGTAACACGTGAACACACCTCCCCTCTCAGAGGCATGCTCGTAAGGAACAGTTCCTAAATACAGTGTTATTTCTAATATTTTGCTCCCCTAGGCAACCAACCACTGACTCTGCTCGGCATGACACAGCCTGGAAGAACTAGATCGTCTAGAATCAATTTGCTACTCCAGTTGAGTTTGATTTTATGATCTTAACACTTGTCATTTTGGGAAGAAACAAAACATTCACTGTTCCCAGGGTATGTAATGCTACTGGGAAGCCATAAATTTTAATTCACTGCTTTATTTCCCTTGCGAAGAGATGTTGTTCATATGTGCTGTCACAGTTGGGGGTTCCTCTTTTTTTCCTCCTTTTGGTTGCTTGTCCCTTCATTAAGTTGGAACGCACCCAGAAGCACAACAGCTTTTGTTTCTATCAATGATGGATGTTACAGTGAGAGTTTTGGTCTGGCTTCCTTGGACCAGGAATTGTTGCACTTGAGTTTTTCTGCTGGATGAGCTGGCACTCCTGTCTCCCTCTCCAAGCTCTGCCAATCACTGTTTTTCTTCCTTCAGCATCCGGCTTGAATTTGAAGTAGCAGGAAATAGAGACTGATGGTTTTATTCATCACAGGAAAGGAATCAATTCAGAGTGTATGCTGCTGCCCAAAAGAGACTTTGGGAAAAGAAGTGCCCTGCAAGTTCATCTAAGAGTAGTTCAGAACTTGAAAGGGAAAACAGAATAATTATGAAATAAACTTTTATTTGTTATGTAAATTAATATTTTAATTTATTGGAAAACCATACTCCTATAAATCCAACCTCAGAGTTTTCTGTACAATATATTGCTTTCTATCTGGGGAAACAATACCCAGAGAAAATTGCTTTTCATTCTTACCGTTTGTATTTTCCACTTGAAAAAACTTCACCATGACAAAAAATGAAAGTACATAGAGAAAAATGTCCAGTTAAGTGCAGGGTACCTGCTGCAGTCCATGAAAGAAGATAGGTGGTATCTTAAAGAATTTTAATGTTGGCAATTAAAGTTTAAAGGGTTTTCTGTAATTTCATGTTATGGGATTAAAACTATATCCTATCTGTGAGGTCAGAATCCCTGTTTAGCTCCTGTTTGAGAAGGAGACTCAAACTTCAGACAGGAGGTTGGCTGAAGCTTTTCATATTTTTCAATACTCAGCGGTCTTAACATTTTGAGGACTGAAAAGGAGGAAACAGATACTGCAACTTGCACATTTTTCTCCAAGTCCAGGTCCCCATAGACTAATTTATATTCTTGAAAGTATGCAAATCTATTTTACAAACAGATCTGGATAAGAATCAATTTTTAATGGTCATCAATTTAATGACCTTGCAGATAGAAGAGGTCACCTCTTTTACTCCTTAATAAACTCTGAAATCTAGCTGACATGTGGAGTCCACTGTTTCCAGTGGTGAAAGGGAAGTTATTATTTTTGGTGAGGTTTTTTGTTCCCATCCCTGAAGACCACATGAAACCTGGCTACCGTCCTGGGACTTCAAGTTATTGTCTTTGGAGTCCCTGGAGTTAACCTAATAGCCTGGGATCTTGTCTGTAGAAAACATTTGGACAAAAACGAATTTATGTTGTATTTCCTGCCTATTTTTGATAGCTGCTTGGCCAGACTAACAGCATCCCTTCTTGTACTGTGGGACAGCAGTCTTTCAGCTTTTGATGGCCTTCTACAGAAGGAAATCTGAATAAAAAATACACAGTATTTCAAAATGAAGGCCAAGATTTACTCAGAGTAGAACCAACATGGAATTTAAAACACAGGCACTGCATCAGCATGGTTGTATCTACTACACTTGAACAGAAAAGTTTAAAACAAGTAAACTGTTCCACACCAAATGGTGAGGTCACTGAGTACAAACTCATGGGGGGAACTCAGCAGAGGCCCTCGCAGAAAGGTCCTTGATGAGAACCAGAGCTCAGGGGCTGCATACCCAAACTCCCCACATGGTTTGAAATACTTAGCTGTTAAAATCCAAGCATTTTAACTACTGAGAGAGATCTACTACTTGAGACACATACTAATGCTGTGGACTTATATCTAATTCTTCATTAGATGTGTTTTAATGTATACATTAAAGCATATATGCTATAGTGTATATGCTATAGAAAATAATCCCAAGGCTACAACATTACCAACATCAAAGGACTCCAGAGCTTCACCATGAGCACAGGAATGATGGGCTTTCACAGCTTTTGACAGAGGGTGCTGGCATCTTGCTCCAGAAGCAATTTCTAGAGAAGCTGTTTCCTCACACCCCAGTGCTGTCTCAGTGGATGGCGCCTGGACATGTGCACCTAGGTTGGACACTGCGCCCTGGAAACCTCCTCAGTCCCAGCACCAGGTCTGGGGACACGTTAGGGGCTTACAGAACCCTGGAGTTCTGGGGTTACCATGTTAGAAGCTGTGCTATGCACAGGCATGAAAGTTCTTAAAGACAGTAATGGAAACTACAGATAAGTTGTTAAAAAATAATTTAATGCTTGCAAAACATTAATGCCTCAAAACACAGTAGCTCAGTGAAAGTCTTGAAAGGACTAATGGAAACTACAATTCATTCTCTTTTAAGACTTTCCCCGGACTACTATTTTATTGATGTGCTGATATTTATTCTTCATCTGCTTCTCTTTGAAAAAAAAAAAATCTGGTTACAGTTGGTAGCCAATTTCAGATGGTTTGTGACTTCATTTGGAACCCCCTTGATATAGTTGCCAACTAATTTACAAGAATTATTGCATTGTAAAAATATTCAGAAAAGCTGGATGCAATTGATTCCTGTAAGACATTTTGTCTTACAGCAAAATAAATTATCTATCGTTAACCCTTTAATCCCTGCCAGCCTCTACCAAAACCATTTCCACATGCTTCTGAAACATCAGAAATTAAAACTCACTGCGCTCAGCAGCTGCCAATCTGGAGAGTGTATTTTTAATTACAGATTTACGAGTTGTTCCTCTGTGCACGTACTGTGGATTTTCTGGAGTGCTAAGGAAAAATAACAGGCTGTGACGAGCGCAGTCCCTCTTTCTCACTCAACACAACACGTTCCAAGTGACTGGCTTCATCTCGGGGTGAGGCTGCTCTGGGTGACAGCTGGTACAACCTGGGTAAGGTTTTTCAGAAGAACATGTGTGGTATTTGTAATTAATTACAACTGTAGACATATGAAATTCATCACTAGAGCCACAGTTGAAACAACTGGGGTGCCTCAAGTGAGAAGGAGGAGGTGGCTTACTTCTGAGGTAGCATTTAAACTTGGTTTTTGAGTTACAAAGCCCTAAATATCTCTGGTTTTGCCTATCCAAGTTAGGCTGATACTACCTGATGTGAAAAAAGAAGATAACCAGAAAGTAAGGGATGCGTGACAGTGAGCCCTGATGCGTGCACAGGTTTACACATGCATGAGCTCTGCCATCCATCACAACCACTGTATTCTTTTTAAAATAAAACATTTTCTGGGATGAGAAACAGGATGCTGAGAGAAGAACTGAGCTGAAATGAACAGCCTTCCTCATCCCAGCGATTTATTTGATCTTCTTGAGATGAAATCAAATATTGAATTGCACCCTCCTTTCTAGAAACTGCAGCAAATCCTCACATATTTGGATCATGAAATTTGAGCCTCTATCTTCCTTCAGACTGCTTTTCCATTCTCTGCTTTGCTCTTGCTGTGTCCTGGATGTCTTTTGATTTCTGTTTCTTAAGAATTGGGTTAGCTGTGCAAGGCTATTAGATCAGCAGCACTGCTGTAAGCCCATGATGAAAAGACAGCTGAAATGTGTCAACCAAGCTGATGCTGGTACATGTTATGCACATCTTGGAGTGTCTAAAATATAAAAGGAAAAAAAAAAAAGCATTCTGTGTAGGCATTTTTCCTGCTACAGCAGAAAATGTATTTCTTTAAGAGACCTAATGCAGTAAATGAAAGCTGTGTTTGTCTATTCTGCTCTTTTGTCACCCCACTTACTTTGCAAACTACCTTGAACTCATTATTTTGTCCAGGGTCAAGCAGGCTCTGACTTTCAAAGCTGCCACAAAATGGTTTCAGCCCATCTCCTCTGTCCTTGCCCAGAGTTCTCATTGTTAGTACAAGTTTACTTGCTCTTGCAAGGATTTGATGAGACCTGTGCTCACAAAGAATTTTAGTACAGCTGAGTTGAATTTGCAAGAGGTAAACTGTGGGTGCTATTTAGATTGTCAGCCTCTGGGAAAAGCATTTGGAATCCTTTGACTTTGGGTCTTTGGGTGGGGGTTTTCTGCATGTTGTATTTTTGGAAGATAAAACAATGCTATTGCTTTTCCCAGTCAGTGCTTCAGAAACCTGCTTTTGGTAGCCTACTCTCAGCTCTGTTCCTACTACCTACCTCACATGGACACGTGAATAGATCAGGTTTGACATATTTGGCTCTTCCAGGTTTAGATTATTGAAAGAAAACTGTCATGCTGCATTTGACAATTCTCTGTCTATATGTGCCATGATCCCCCAAGGCTTCCACCTCCATCAAGCAGTCTGACACCCTGCCAATTCTTTTCCCAGATTTGCTTCAACAACCCCAGCTGCCTTTCTGCCAGGTAACTTCTTCCATTACTTACAGCCTGCTAAACAAGCTGATTGCCCTGAATGCCTTTAACAAACAGACAACAATTTGGCTGCGGTCCCGCCTCACCTCATTCCACAGGGTAATCACCATCCTCTTCTGCAACCTCATTTTCTGTATTTGCAATAGTAAAGAATGCCTACCTTGGAGCCATGAGCCCCTCAGCTTGCTAGGTCCATTAGTCACTGCGCCTGTCTTAATGTAGCAGGCAAAGACCATGTAAGTAATGGTTGAAGATGGGAAAAGATTCTTCACCAGGTGAGTCTCAAGCACAGCACTTACCCAGCTGCCTTGAGGGAGCCGCAGGAAGAGCTGCAGGAGCAGTGCATTATTATCTGAGAACCTCACAGTGCTACAGATAGCGCCAGAATTGCCTTCTGTGCTTCATTTCAGGATCCAAAAGCTCTTGCCAAGCAAGGAACGAGAGCTATGGGTTCATGCTGGCATCCATTTTGAGAGCTATCTGGAGAACAGCATGTGAGCCAGAGAGCTTGTGAGAGCTTCTTTCACTGGGCAGGAGTTTCCTGCGTTCCCGAAACGCTCATGTGTCAGCCTACAGGAATGGACCCCGATGCTCTGGGGCAGTTAACCAACATAGTAACTGCAGTAAGATACAGGCCAAGAACAGACGTGTGCTACAGACTACACCTGATTCAACATAATGAACAGAGACATTCTGTCCAGTGGATGCAGAGATAACAGGTTTAATTACCCACAGTTTGATTATCTGGTGTTGACACAGATTTTATGACTAAGTCACCCTTGAGATGCTCAGAATCTGGAAATCGTAACCACAGATAAAAATTCCCTTGCGGCTACATAAAGTCACAGTATTTTTCTGACAAACTTTGGCTGAGAGCTTTGAGCATTTTTAGCTTATCAGGCGTGCAATGCATTTTACAAGGAGAGTGAAGTCTTAAGGCATAAATCATTGACTTAAAGGAAAACAACTGTGTAACAATATTACAAGATATACAGAACAGGATGCACTTGGATTCCAGTTTCTGTTCATTGGCTCACCAGAGACAAGGATCATAAATCAGAAATAGAGAATGGAAATCAAAGAAAAGTAACAGGAAGTGTCAAAATGAAAACCTGGCAGAAATTACCAACAGGAGGAAAAGAAAAAAGGCTCCAGATGGTTTTTAAAAAAATTAAAAACCTGGGAAAGAGTCAGTGAACAAAAGATCTACAAGCAGAAAAGAAAAAACTGATAGCTTGGGTGGGGGGCTTCTCCTCTTTCTTTCCCACATACAAGCCAGGTCTAGTGAGGCAAGAAAATATGCTTCTACCAAAAAGATGAGGGAGGCAAAGGGGCAGAAAGCCATATAAACATCACCTCCCCTTCTTTCTTCCCATGAAACACAGCTATGGAAACTCTGATCCGAGAAATATTTCAATTGGGCTCACAATTCAAAAGGTTCATTAAACCCAGGATTATTACCATGAGAGAACTTGATCAGAGAGCAGCCAGGCTGTAATGTTTAAGGGGTTCCTTATTCTCACATACCTACAGGCTGCAGCAGTCATACGGCGCTGAGCATGCGAATCCCAGCCCTGTGCAGCACCAAGCATTTTCCTCTGGGGCCATCTGCCGGCATTCATGCAGATACCTCTCAGGACCTTTCTGGGATGATGATTGCTTTATCAGGTGCATCGAAGGTGAACGATGCTGGAGCCATTCAGCACAATTTCTCATGGAGCTGGAGTCCAAGCTGTGCTGGAGGCTTCATCTTTCCATCCCACCAGTGCACATTCTTAAATCGGTCTTCTGGAGACTAAAAAAATAAATCCATCCCCACTTCAATACTTCCCTTGTGATCAGAGAGATTCGCCCTCCTTCCCCATGTGTGTACCATATTTAACCCAACAATGGCCCTAAATTTTAATAATTATGGGCAAGGAACTCTAAATCCTTCCTTCCACCAAATAACTCCAGCCAACATGAGTCTACTCACCTAGGCCTTTTTCAAAGAAAACCGTGAATGAGGGATTTGTAGGCTGATACTTAGAAAGACAAAGCTGCCAACTGATTCATACTTAATTTCTTAAAAAAAAAAAATCAAAAAAAAAAAAAAATCAAGCCTAGTCAAGTAGAGTCCTCAATCAAGAATAATTACATTTTTATTGGTACATGATCATTTCAGGGTAATTCTACCAACTGGCATATATTTGTATCATGCTGCTACTAAACTACGGGGTATTACTGTAAACTTGTGCTCAAGCTGCACAACTCAAGAATGGCTGGAAGCTTAAGGCTATCATTAAAAAATCCCAACAAAACACCAAACCAAATCAAACCAACCCACACCATCCCAGTCAAATCAAACATCTTCCTTCCCTCACCCCTCCAGCATGCAAGTTTTCTGACTGTTTAAACAACATTCATAAACCATTCCATAACATAAAGAAGCCTTCAATCCGAGCACATTCCATACAAAAATAATACAGTTTTTTAAAGAACCAAAATATCTCCCTTTTATTAAGAGAAAATGTATGCTGACCCATCACCAGCAATTTGCATCTGAAAAGCTCATTAACTTTCAAGAACAGTTTTTTTCTCTCAGACTAGAGAGACTGATACACTTTCCTATTTAAAAGTGCCAGTTGCTATAATTCAGGATTATATAGCTGGGCTATATTTAATTTGCATTTTATTTAAGCATAGAGCTTTTCCACCACAGTAAGTACCCTTCTGCTTTCTGTGCTATGTACCTCTGTTCCACTGCAGCCACACGTATTCAGACACAAGGAATTGGGAAAAGCCACTGGCTATACACCCTGGTCCAGATTGCATGCAGTTACATGTGAAAGTGCACTAGAAAGTTCCTATCCACCCAAACAGATTTCTAAAGGGAGAAGAATGATTTTCTGCGTATTGTTATATTATCTGCTGCTCTGAGATGGAAAATGGACAATACACTTTAGAGATAAAGAAGACCATGATAATGGATCTGTTACTGTTAAAAATCCTTAGCAATGCAGACATCAAAGTAATACTAAGCCTGTTTATGCATTAGTTGTTTTCATTAATGTTACAAAGATTTTAATTATTTCATAATCCTCAAGACATTGTTGGGGCTCAGAATCACAAATCTGAGACGCCGCAGAAAGGCTACATAGGAAAAAACAGACATTCTTTGGTATTTTTGGCATTCTACTGCACTGCAATGATAATTAAACCTCAATAGTAAGTCTTGCAAATCTGTACTGTAAAGATCCTGGAGTTCTTAACAAAACGAGCCCTTTTTTATCTGCTGGCTGGTTGTGCAACATATAAACTAACCCTGTCAAGCTAACAAAACCCAGGGCTTCTCCACAGCCTGCAGCCAATGAAAAATCCCCTCGAGTAACATATCCCAAGAGAGTTCTGGAGCAGTGGGAAGTAACATCTGGAAGAGCATCTGACCAAAGACCAAGAATGAGGTCTTCATGCTCCTCAGTTGTTTCTTCTTCTGGAACACTTGGAGGGTCACCTTCTAGAGCCTTTACGTTATCCTTCTTTTTCCTCTTCTTCTCCTCTTTTAATTTCTGTACCTTGTGCTTGAATATATCATGATGTTTGGGTTCTTGAGGACCACAGAAGAGTCTGTCTTTGCTTAGATGCAACAAGTCATCTTCTGTTGGGATGCAAATCATGGCATGTAATTCAGGGTTCCCTTTTCTCAAGAGAGACAAGTTGACCCACAGGAGAGCCCTTGGATAGCTCATCAAGATTGGCAAAAAGACATCTTCAGTCATTTCCTTCTGTCCCAGTCGAGACACAAGGCGGATTCGCCGATCTTTTCCAGCAGTGGGATAACACCAGGCTGATAACTGCATTAGTAGTTTTTCGCTCCTATTACAGATTTTTAAGAACATCAAGGATAGTTATTAACAAGTAATACAACAGAAACACAGTGCCCCACATATTTGCAAGAGCATGATTAGAAAAAGCCATGGGGCTTCCTGTAACTTTCCAAGGTAGTATATGTATCCCTCTTAGCACATAAAAACACAGGTGAGTGGAAATCCTGTGTGAAGGCATTTCTTCAGAAGGACACATTACTTGTGAAAACCCTCAAAACTTGTTAAATCACAAATGCTCTAAAACCTTTAGTGGCATTAATGCAGTCCAGAACTACCAATGTTTTCTTCCCCTGATAACTAAACGAAAAGGAAAGACTTGCATTCAGGCACTTTCCAAACACTGTTGCTGCCCTCATGCGTTGCATTGGAATGCATGAGATTCTGTTTTCTTTATAAACCTTTTGAAGTAGTGCAAAACCCACCTGTGATAATGTATTAAAAAAGCAAATGCAAGCTGATTTACACTTGCTGATTTAGCAAAGTTTTAAAACACAAGCATGAGCTTCTAAAAGCTCCATCCCCCACAAAAAAAGACAGAATATGCCAACTCCAAGAACACATTAAAATCAAGTGTTAAATTTAAGATAATTTAAGAAATTTACTTCATCAAGTTACCAAGTTTGCTGGGGAAAAGCCAGAAAAGGACTTCTACTCAACTGCAAATTCTGATTCACAATGAAACTATATAATCTCCTTGCTGTGTTTGGATCAAATAATTCTCTCATCTTAATAATCAAGGCTGAGTTCATCTTTTCCCCAGTTCAGTAATTCCCCATAAAATAATACCACCTCACACGTGTGCATCATTTTGACATACCTGAGAACAATAAAATCACTTCTTGCCATAGTTTCACCTCTCTCACTGATGTCTTGGGTGCCTGTAACATCCTCTGTCTTCAAGGCACCTTCAGAGCTTGTTATTTCCATGGTCCCCTCTACTTCACCAGTCTCAGGGGAAGCTTCTTTTACCTTTTCTGCTTTGGGGTCACAAAAACTATGCCCTTTAATTTCACAGTGTTCAGGGTGTGGGGAAGAAGAACGTACAAATTCTCCTGATGCTTTCATTCTTTCTTCCCAGTTCTTTGTCAGCTGCCCCCAAGGAATGATGAAAGGAGACAGAGTACCCAGCTTGATATAATTTGGCCTTTTTGCAGGTGGACGTCTAAATGATAAATTAAGTATGTAAGAATATTTATTTCCTGGGCTCTTATTCAGTCCCTAGCACTTCAAAAGGCTGTCTACTTTATCCTGTTGGTCTAATGATGTTTTGTGTTTTCAAAACCAAGTATTTAGAACAGAAAGTTAATTGTGCTTTCCTCTGTAATCTCATTCAACAAGAATTTTAGTTATACTTCTAGACAGCAGCGCTGTATTTCTGACCACCATATCCTTTCAGACATGCTGGATATTTCTACCTACTGGGACTGACACCATCACCTTTCCCTCTAAACTTCTACTTCAGCTCCTAGGTGGAAGGAGAACCAACACCAGCTGGTGCAGAGGACACTTCCAGCCATCCCATACTTGTGATTAAGAGTTCTGTATTTATTGCAGTGAAAATCATAGAATCATAGAATAAGTTAGGAGTGGAAAGGAAAATGAAAGCAAACTTCAGAATACCTGGTATTTAAGAAACGAACACTGAAATATACCTCTTCATTCACTTCATTGTTTAGCACTTTGTAAATACTTTGATATTCTGCCTTTGCCTTCTCATATCTCCTCTCTCATTTGCTGCTAAGGGAGACTGAAATAGCTTTATTTTACTGCTACACAGCCTTGTTATACCCTTATAATTGAGCAGATCTCTGGGAAGAGGTTTTAGTTAATTTATATGCCCTGTTTAGCAGAGCTTTTGTGTTAAATACATCTAGGTTTCTTTTCTTTGTTTATACTACTAGGATTTAAAATGCTAGTGAAAAACCTCAATGAAGTCTTAATGAACACAACAACATTGAGTTAAGGATCATTTTAAGTAGTATGCTTTTTTGTTACTATTATTTCATTCTTGCAATCAATTTTTAAGTCAGTATTACCGTTTGTATTTTTCAAGAAGACTGGTTTCCAGTTCTTTGGCAAACTGCATTCCTGCCTGGCAGTCTGGGAAATCATTTGGAGTGTGAGGCGTTCTTTGATACTCAGAATGCTTTAAAGCCTCTTGCAAGCCACCGACTCGTACACCTCTGTATATCTGTTATGAAAACCAAAACCAAAAAAAGCAATGTTTGCACTGACTCCAGGTTCCTAATTGAAACAAAACATTAATGCTCCAGAGCTACTGCCTTAGAAAATGGAAAGTCTGTCACTTTAGCTTAAAAAAAAAATAAACTTAACTATAGTTTTCACAGTTCTAGATGCCAATTTCAAAAATGTTAGTCATAATCTTTAAATTTAATTCTGAAAAACTATCAACAAAACCAAACAGAATTTCACAGGTTCTGATCTTGTATGTTGCCAGGAATGTCGTATTACTTTGACATAATCACTGCCCAATTTCTTTTAACTGTACAACAGGTATCACTGCTATTGATCCTCTGCATATTTAAAAGCATAAATTTAACTGCAGAAAGACATTAAAACTTCCATCCAAACATTCAAAGCAGAATGCTCCAAACAGCATCAGAGGAGCACGTTCACGCTTAACTCAAACTTGGTGTTTTACGCTCTCTCACAAATCAAGTTGTTGACAGATTGGTGGAGATAGCCAAGCTGGAAATAGATTAGCAGCAGGCACCAAACAATTTCTCTTTAGAGGCATATGCCTGTAGAAACACAAAACCAAACAGCTATAGCATCAGCCTTCTCTCTTTAGTCCCCACTCTGATTTCCTGCTTTAGACCGCCATGTGGGCACAGTTATACCAAACAGAATATATGGAAAGCTATTGTTTATTTTACCAAGCTTCTGTCATCAAACAGTTCAGACACCCTTTCTTAAAGTGGGATTTTGATTTGTTAATTGGTTATACAATGCAAAGTATACTCTTTAAAATCAATTATTTTGAAGCAAACTATGTAATTTCTCATATTTACTTGCAAGTTGCAGTCACTTACAAAAGGAATCCAGAAAGCCATGCCCCAGCCCTTTGGGAGATAGATATCCCAGCCACTTCCCCATCCTGGCCGATCTTCTCCAGCCATTTTCCCTGGCTGCTGCACCAACAGTATGGGAATCTTAGATTCACAA